TGGTTTGATTTCTTTGTATGTATGGATCACTTGGGTTGTTACCGACATCTGGTGAAAATTTCACGTCATTAGCACCTCTAGTAATATATTTACTGAGAAAAATGGTGACGTGTTCAATACTTAATGGTTCTTTGTATGTATGGATCACTTGGGTTGTTACCAACATCTGGTGAAAATTTCATGTCATTAGTACCTCTAGAAATATATTTACTGAGAAAAATGGTGACGTGTTCAGTACTTATTTTACCCGCTGTATTATAGACATATGACATTAGAAGGAAATTTAAATAAAATATTAGGTATGAAAACATGGTCAAATAAGTTCAATAAAGCCCAAGAGGAAGTACCAGGAAGCCTGTGGTCAACTGGACAACACACAATTATTAGTGGCAGAGTAAACAATATGATCAGGCTCTCTAGTAATGAATAATTAAACATGACTACTGCAACTTACTCTGTGTTCACTTCAATATAGTTGTATTTTACACAAAAGGCAGGATAGTGAATTCACATGGCACAACATGACAAACAGCAAAACTATAAAAGTGACTCAGAGACCCACTATTCCCTAAATTCATCCCCTGAAAGAAAAGCCTATTTAATGTAAGAATATGAAATCATTATCACACCAGAGCAGCACATAAAACGCAGGCTCAACCACACATGCAGTACCTGTTTAACCAGCATCCACGGACRTGCACACGCCGCTTCTGAACGATCCTCGTTCCTCAGGCACCGAGGGCTGTAAGACGAGCACCGAGCCACATCTGCAACCAGATCCTGCAGGTGTCTTGTTGTTGCTTTGTGCAAAGCCATGGCTGACAAAGACAGGATGATGTTGAAAATGAGTCTTAAACCAAGAGACATTTGAGGATTCCCTAAACAGCAAATACAGGAATATTATTTCAGCGTGTTCTTGCAAGTTTCAAACTGATTCAAGTTTGTTTTCATCCAACTCAGGTTTTGGTTTGTTCGTTTTGTGCACACACAACATTATTAAAGATTTTAAAAGAGAGGCTTGTTATGTCCTACTTGAACGATCAGGAATTCACTTTTTTAAGAAAAAAAAAGAGAGAAATGTATTACTTTTGGACTTCAGGGTTTGTCTCTGCTTTTTGTAGGTGATGTGGTTTTGCTAGCATCTTCAAGGCGCCGTGACCTTCAGCGCATAGAGTCAGCTCAACAAGGGAACTGGAGTTGTTGGGAGTTTTGTTTCTGAGCGATGGTAGGATGGAGCAGCCAATCATTGGATCGAGGTCTTTGTCCACAGTGATGAGGGTGTTCATCTGGTCTGTTGAGGTGAAGAAAGATCCATGTGTGGTCCATCTTTCACCTGTGTTCATCGTGACATCATGGCTAAAAGAACAACATCCTGGATATGTGCAGGAAGAAGATGGACGTTATTGGTTTTCCAGAACGCAAGCAGTGATGCATATTTTTTAATTTTAATAACTAAAAAAAAGTTGACCACAAGACATTTAGGAAACCACACAAACGGTGTAAACTGCAAGTGAAAACAGATTGAAAAATGTGAAACTAATGCTAAACAAATGCCACATTAAAAGTTTATAATTTTTAATGGTTTTTATATATTTTTAAATGGATGTTACAAAAATTCCAATGATTGGTTTATCAAAGAGGAAAATAAAAGAAACTGAATAAGAATAGCACGGTTTATAAATCACTAATCTCCTATATATTATTCTGTTTTTTTTTTAAATAAATTGTGTAGAATGAGGAAAACATTTTAAAGGAGGCTAAGATTAACAAAACGTCGTTTTACAAAATCATAATACCTTTTCAAACTGGTAAAGTTTTCATTTGTTGAACACGTCGTCCTCTCCTCCTCCTTTTTATCACTTTCTTCAGCAGCAGGTTGCTTGTTAGCATCTATGCTACGGAAGTAGCATTATAATGCAGTAGCTTTAGGATACCATCATGGACGCAAACTGAGTAAAACTGGCAGTCTGAACGCAAACCAAGACAAGCATGTTGACGTGAAATAAGAACAAAAAAGGCWTCTGGGTGTGACAGACTCTTGGTAAGAATGAAACGAGCAGAAAGGAAAGGAAAAGGAGGACTTAGCAGTTGCAGTGCAGGTAGAAGGCTAGCATGCTAACGTGAGATGCTCATCGTGGTCATGTTTTAGACCACAGGACCTCCAATTTTATTTATTTTTCAAGCTAAAAAGCTGAGGAATGTTTAAACAAACGTTTTTATACTTCTGGGTTTTTTTGTACGTACCCGCTGACTTTTCCACTCGTGAACACCTGTTGTTTTCCTGCCTGTAGGAAGGTGGTTTGCACGTTATGGATTTCCTCACTATTTTTGCGATCTACGTCGCGGTGGTGCTAACATGTATGTTCCTAGTTTGTAAATATTCGGGCCAGCCTCAAAGCCCCTTCAACACACTACTCAACTATGTTTCAAAGGTAAGGCTTTCTGACGATGCTGTAGTTCCTCCACACCGACACCAGGTGTCGCTGTTTGACCACAGTTAATTCTCTTCACAGATGGTCGCACGTTTGACGCCGCAGTGGCTCCAGAAGCTTTCACACTGGACTCTGCACCGATTGTTTCATCAAAGGTTTGTAGGTAAAACTCTTCAGGAAGTAATGTCCAGTCTTGTGCTGTGTGTTTCCCCCTTATCATGTATCATTTCTTGTCTCAGGAACAACCTTTTCATCTATGTGCACATCCTGCTGGAGGGCGCCGTCTACGCAGAGTTCACCTTCGAGGTGTTTGGCTTCTGCAGGGAGCTGGACACTTCTTTAACCAGCCTGTCAGTGCCTTACGTCCTGCTGGTCATCAAGACCTTTATATTCTACCTCTGCATCAGAACAGACCCAGGTTTGTTTTATTCTGCTTGCAGCATGTTGCAAAGAGAACATTTAGTCACTGCAGTGTCGCATCATGTGGGAGCTTGGTGTTGTGAAATAGGAGTTTCACAGTTTCCACGATCTGACACGCCTTCCCAGCGCTAATGTTTTGGCCTGAGCGCGTGTTCACGTGTCTGTTAGCAACGTAACTCAAAACCTACTGGACAGATTTTAATGAAACGCTCAGGAAATGTTTGTTTGGTGAACGTCCATAACTGGTTAACTTTTGGCGTCAGTCTGATTCAAGATGGCCACAACAGCTAATGAAAATTAGCCGATGCATTTTGTTCAGTTTTACAGATAATGAACTAAAATTTGCTGTAGTAGTAGCTGAGTGTCTTTCACAGCAGAAAACATTGCACGAGACTGGGCACAGCATTGTCTCTGTAACCAAAATTTCTACAACKTCATCAATTTATCAACAAGATGATTTTATTGTGAAACTAGCATGAAAGGCATTGGGTGATATGCTATTTTAAAAGGCTACTTTTTGTTTATCGTAATGTGTAATGTTTGGAAAAGTCAACAGAATTCTTTTACTGTTTCCCCATAACTTCTATTCTATTAGTATTATTTTCCTGAGGATATTTCTGTTTGTTTTTTCCTGGAGTTAGGGTTATGCACATTTGGGGGAGTGCTTGACATTAGGTTTAAAATGTTAAACCTATTTTTGAGCTAAAGAAAAWGTTCTTCAGCTGGTTAGGTTAATAATAGGAAGACGATCTGTTTGATCGTGACATTAAAACTGCAGCACACGTTTCCTCTTCCTCTTTTTTCCACCAGGCACGGTGACAAAGAAGAGAGTTCCCAGCCAGCTACACATCTACCCGTACGACAGGAGGCTGTTTCATCCTGGAGTTTTGTGTCCAACCTGCCAGCTTGTCAAACCAGCCCGTTCCAAACACTGCAGTGAGTACCACTTCCTGYATGACCTCGTCACTCACTCCCACTCTGTTTTTAACACAGTCTGCACATTATTTATGTCCGAACAAAAGCATACGGCTGACTGCAAACACTCGTCTGCACCTCAGGGGTCTGCAACAGGTGTGTCCAGCGCTTTGACCATCACTGTATTTGGGTGAACAACTGCATTGGCGCTCAGAACACGCGCTACTTCCTGCTTTACCTCTTCAGCCTGTGTGCCATGGCGGGGGACATAGCCTTGCTGACAGGAGACATGCTGCTTCATGCTGTGCTGCGCTCAGGGCTCCTACGAGCTAGTTACATTGATGAGTATGGGCAGCAGCAGGCAGCTGGACCTCTTTTTGTTGTACAGGTACGACTGACATTCTCCATATACGTTTTAAATCCAGAATGTGTACATATATTGGACAGTTGTTTTTTTTTCTGCGTCCTTCTGCAGCATCTGTTCCTGACTTTTCCCCGTATTGTCTTCATGCTGGGCTTTTTGATCTTCCTCTTCTTCCTCCTCGCGGGTTACGCCCTGTTTCATGCCTACCTGGCTCTCGTCAACCAAACCTCCAACGAGTGGTACAAAAGCCGAGGTTACGTCTGTCAGCACTGCCACCCCACAGCAGCGGCCGATCCCCCTGTCCCGGATCACTCTAAGAGGAACTACTACAGCCGAGGGCCGCTCCGAAACCTGAGAGAGATTTTCTTTCCTCTGAAGTGTGTTCAGAAGAAGGGCAACTGAACAAAGATGCCGTTTTACCTGTTGCCACTGGGAAAATAAAATGTTTGTGTTTATTTTATTGGCTTGGATTAGTTTCCGTGCCTCATAAGTTTTTTTTACCTTCTAGCTGCCCTTGTTTGAAACCAAATAAATAGTACTTTGTGGTATTTTATGTGATGTGGTAAACTTTGTAGGGTTTTGACTGAAAATCTCAGAGGTACATATGGAGTACTGTATAGATCAGAGGTGCCCAAAGTGGGGCCCGGGGGCCAAGATTGGCCCGTCAAAGCCATTTGATTTGGCCCACCAGTAGTTGTCCTGGTTATTAGATTGTAATTATGTTAAGATTAAATATTAAATACAAGTAACTACAAGAGACATTTAGATTAGATTTAAGCCCATGTCTAGATTTGCACACCTTATAAGACCACATATACTCAAATTTTAAATTATGAAAAGTCCCATGAGTCATTGCTGCCTGAGCATACGTTGCATTTTCTCCATGTCCATGGGCTGGAAAAAAAAAACTAAAGACTGTGGGCAACCATACTGGCTGCTAGCTTAATAATAAAAAATAAAACAACTTTAAGCATTTCTTATATTATTGCATTTGGCCCGCGGCCCTCAGATTGATTTTAATTTTGGCCCTCTCAGGAAAAAAGTATTTTTAATTTTGGCCTCTCAGGGAAAATGTTTTTTTTAATTTTGGCCCTCTCAGGGAAAATGTTTTTTAATTTTGGCCCTCTCGGGGAAAATGTTTGTGTACCCCTGTTATAGATTCACATGCAGCTGGACAAATTTGGACAAAAAAATGAACAGAACTCATGATTTTAAGACAAAATACATTTTTAAGACACTTTTGCACAGKTTTAGTCTTTGAACTTAAGACAGGCTACATTGACTTTAGGAACAATAGTTTGACCACGAGTGGGAGACTGTGATGAAGTGATTCAACACAATTTGCTGGCTTCTTCTTTAGATTGTTCTTTTTTATGTGCAGTGCCCTGAGACAACGTATGTTGTGACTTGGCGTTATATAAATAAACTGAATTGAACTGAGTGTTATGAGATGAATAGCCTTTGCGCAGTGTTTTTACAGGCATTTATACATTAAGTGAAAATGACAGACGTGGATTTTTTTCTACTACCTGTAGGAACATGCATCATRTTTTATTTTTAAAATGCTCTACCCAGTCCAAATGAAAATATTTTAAACTTAACGTGTAAAGTATGTCATTAGGAGACTAATATTTGTATTGTGAAATTTCTAGCCAGACTTATTATGAAAAACAACAGGGCCATATTCTGGATGCTTTTTTGCTCTAAAATGACATAGTTTTAGATAAGTTTTAATTTAAGTTAAAATTAGCATATTGTGATTAATTAAAATTTAATTAAGTAACTTATAAAGGCCGTGAAATGCATAGCTTTATTGTGAAACGCGCTCCACGCGCTTTACGCTTTCGACACCGGAAGTGGGCGGGGTTTTAATTGAGGGGGTTCCTGTTTCTTTAAGCCGGTGCGGAAGCTGTCAAATGAATTGAAGCAGCAGTCGGCAAAGGTCAGGTTGGGTCTCTAATAAGATTTTTAACAYCATTTATCTGTTCTAAACCAGTTGTCTGAAGTAGAAGCTTCGACAGGACGTCTCTCTGTCACGTTTAAGCGCGCGCTGAGACGGGAAAGCCAGCCTGAACTAAAACACCGGTGTTGTAGAGTATTAGGGTTTAGGTTCAGCAAAGACCCCTGAACATCTTCGACTTTCTCTGATGTCCGGGACAAAGTGTACGCGGCTGAGCGGGGGTCTGGTGAAGCAGCTGCTGGACTCGGTGGACAGTATCCTGTTCGACTGTGACGGGGTCATCTGGCGGGGGGACCAGGCTGTCCCCGGCGCCCCCCAGGTCATCAACCTGCTGAAGGAGCACGGAAAGAAAGTCTTCTTCGTCACCAACAACAGCAGCAAGACGAGAAAGATGTATGCGGAGAAGATGTCCRCGCTGGGCTTCAGCGTGACCGAGGAGGAGGTGTTCGGGACCGCGTACTGCTGCGCCATGTACCTGAAGACCGTCTGCAAGCTGCRGGGCAAGGTSTACCTGATCGGCAGCAGCGCCATGRAGCWGGAGCTGGAGGCCGTGGGGATCCAGCAGACCGGCGTGGGACCAGACCACGTGCACGGAAAGCAGAGCGACTGGGCCGGCGTGCCGCTGGACCCCGAGGTGAGGGCGGTGGTGGTCGGCTTCGATGAACACTTCAGCTACATGAAGCTGAACCGAGCCCTGCAGTACCTGATCCACAAGGACTGTCTGTTTGTGGGGACCAACAGAGACACCAGGCTGCCTCTGGAGGGAGGCAAGGCTGTCCCAGGTAAGGAAGTCTGTTAGCAAAATATCTCATGAACCACAAACACATTTTAACACAACCCCTACAGTAATAATTGGATGTACAACTACAACTGATGAGCTTTTTGCTACACAACAAACATATAACAGGCTAGAACAGTGGTCTGCGACCTTTACARTCAAAACAGCCATTTCTGCTCCTAAGCTCACTAATAAAATGTGTCCTGAGCCACAAAACATGCGACAGCTGTAATTATCAACTGGTGGTCTGTGGGCCTTTTCAAGGTCTTTTCGTGAACCTTTATGGTCAGTGGAGGTGACATAAACCTAAAAAAAATAT